TTTTTTTTTTTTTTTTTTTTTTTTTACAATTCTCATTTTACAGAAGAAAATGAGGCACAGAGAGGTAAGCTATATGTCTACTTCATACAGCTGCTAAGTGGAAAAGCAAGGATTCACAGTGAGGCATTCAGGGCCTGATTCTTGAGCTCAGGCTGAGTCATACAGTTCCTTCCAGTGTGAACTGAAGACCAGCTGACAAAAGCCAAGAAACACAAGTTCGCAAAAGTATTGTTTGCAGTTTGCAGGTGACTATCTGTATCTGATTAGCAGATCTTTCTCTTCGTGGGTAGCCAGAATGAATTTCCAGCATTGAATGTTTGTGGGGTTTTTAATAGCAAATGGCAACTAAATTGACCTTTGTACCAAACATACAGTATTGAACTACAAGAAGCAGGAACACTGTTTAGATCAAGATGAAAGGACCCATTCAAACTATTGAACTACAAGAAGCAGGAACACTGTTTAGATCAAGATGAAAGGACCCATTCAAACTAGGTGTCGATCTCAGCAGAGTGATAAAAACTTGAAGAGTCTGCAGAATCTGTTTTCCCCAAGGGAGGTGACATGGAACAACACAACAAAACCAGTAAAACCACAAGGTCAGAAAAACTAGGAGATCTTATGTGACACAGTGCAATCATTCCTGTCTCCAAAGTCACAAGGTGAAGAACTTCTCAAACTTTACCATGCATAAATGACTATAAGTTTCTGTTAGAAGCGCAGATTCTGGATCAGTACTTCTTGGAGGCCCTGAGTCTAATGTACCCTGAGGTGGGAATGGGGGTACTGCTGTTGAAAGGAGCAGGACACCATGCAAGTGACAGTAAAAGAGCCTTTATGGTCTAGCAGCCAGCAAAGTTCAATTCTGCCACAAAGTAAATCTGAGTCTGCGGTTATGTTATTAATCTGTTTCTCCAAATAATCTTACCTGGGCATTTCCCACCAGCTTCACAATTCAGTATTTCTAATGATGTCTTTCTCATTGGACCCTGTACTGAGTTTCTACTTGTAAAATTAATGGGAAAATAAAATACTTCCCTTTACCCCAAACCCAAGTATCTGCAGTGAGATAAATCCTTTTCACACATATTACAGAAAGATAACTGGAACTCTGTTCAGAGATGAAATCATGCTGAAAACTAATTATTTCAGGAAAAAGATTTGAATTTGAAGCTCTTATTATTTCTTTGGTAAAAATATCTTTAGAACTAGCTTGACAGGGAAATAGTATTAAAGGATAGATCTTAATCCAGTAATTTAACAATTTATTGGAGAGAGGAGTTTGGGTTGTATTTTCTAGCCATCTGGACTTGTGCCAATCAATATGGTAGGCATTAGACATATACAGTTATTAAGCACTTGAAATGTGCCTAGTCTGATTTGAAAATGCAAAGACTTCAAAGAGAGTATGAACAAAACAGTATAAAATATGTCACTAATAAATTTTGTACTGATTTGTTAAAATAATATTTTGTGTACATTGGGTTGAATAAAATATTTCATTGAAATTAATTTCAATGACTCTCTCTCTGTTGTCTTTTTTTCTCTGTCTCTGTCTCTCTTTCCCTCTGCCCTCTGTGGAGTGCTGACGATAGAAGCAAGACCTTGTACATGTTAGGCAGGCACTACTACTTAGCTATTGTTACCTTACTTTTTGTTTTTATTTTTATCTACTTGTATTTTCTTGGGGGATGGTACTAGGGATTGAATACCCATTTTGTGTATACATTCTATCACTGATCTATACTCCCAGCTTCCTTTTTTACTTCTAAAATGTGGCTATTAGAAAATGTTATACATGTAGCTCACCCCCATGACCACTGGACAGTACAGGCTCAGACTTGCTACTTAGAGCATGATTCCCAGGCCAGTAGCACTGGCAGTGACTGGGAGCTGGTCAGAAAAAGGAGACTTTCAGGTTTATTGAGTCAGAGTCCACCTCTTAGCAAGTGCTCAGGGGGTCCTTGTGCACATTCAAGTGAGAAGTCCAAGCCAGGGTTTCCTGCCACATTTCACAGCAGGTGTGTTGGGTTACTGGTCTACTCAGATGACATGCCAAAAAGGGTACGGTGCCTGCTCGATTTTCTACATGACTGTGCAAGCAAAGCAACAAAAACCTTAAAAACTTTTAAATGATTTACAATTTAAGAGTATACACTAAAATTACATTAAACACTAAAAAAAAATCACACACCCCCCACACACACACATGCATATACACATGCGGGGAGGCTGCTTTGAGGCTACCTTAGTGACTTCTGGATTTTCTGCCACCATGTAAGTGAAGCTGATGTTCACCAGATCTGTACCACTGCAGACACAGACTATCCGGCCTTCCAGATCATTTTCCGATTTTCCAACAGCTTCAAGAGCAGCCAGGATTTTGGGATCCTGTAAAGAAGCATACAAATAGGATAAAAAAATACATTAGTTCACAAAACATGGAGGGGAGCCGAATAAAATAAACCTACCTTTGATGTAAAAAATATGTATAAGGGCACAGGTTTTTTCCCCCTTCTAAAATGCTCGGTATTTCACAAATAAAATAAAATAAAACCCTAGGGATGTAGCTCAATGTGAAAGCTTTGGTTTCAATTCTCAGTACCACCAAAAAATTAAATAAGCATATAAATAAATGAGAGGAATATAAATTTTCTGATTTACAAAACTGGGTATTAGGGTCTTCATTTAGATTTTTGGTTGTCATTTCTGCAGGCCCCCAAATTGGGAGATGAGACAGGAAGGCCTATGCTTGGCATGTACTTGTGTCCACAAGGAGCCACGGAGTCTCTCACCAGAGGACAATCACAGAGGTTTTCCACGAACAGACATGGCACTGCCACAGCCAGGAACCTCAGGTTATTTGCAAAAAAATGAGACATCACTCAAATAGCCTGCATAGAAAGAGTGAATATTTTCATTTCCACAAGTGCATGGCATCCTCAATTGGACTGAAACCCCTAATTCATAAGGAAAATCATGCCTTTGTTCTCCAAAAGAACTCAGGAGGAAAAACCAACATACAGTTACACAGAAAATTTAACTGACAGAGGACAGCTTAAAAAAACAAACAACAACAAAGTAAGGAATGTAATTTTGTTTTGAATGTCTAAAAACCTTCAGGGGTATTACTGAAAAGAAAATAAATTCTGTGCTAGAATACTCTCTGAAAAGACATCTTTGAAATTCCTAGCGCCACTATGCAAATAGCTCCTTGTTCAAACAAATCAATCACTGTGTAGAAGACTGATTTATGTGCTCTGTGTGTTTGGGTTTTTCCCCTCCAAGGTGAGTCAATGTCTGCGTGCCCAGGTGCACAAACAAGGAAGTGCCCGAGCCACATAAATGTCCCCATTGACGACAGATGAAGAGTGAACCGCTGTGTGCTAAAAAGAGAGGAACTTATAAAATTAATTTCCAAGTTGAAGGAACTCTTTGGTTTCATGCAAGGCCCTTTGCAATCCCAATTTCAAATATAATGAATGTCACTGCAGTCTAAATCACACAACACCTGTGAAGGAAAAGATTTCTACACTGTGTCTATTCTTAATTCCCAGATGATGAGTTTAGGACAGAAACAAATTAAACAATATACTGGGCAGCATTTCCAGTCTTTGTAAATGTGTGCTAGGACGGACAGCAAACACCCATCACAGGTACCTTAGGAATGGCTCCCAGCCGAATACTGTTGATGAGAGAACATTCTAACACTTGTCCTTCCTGAGAGAGAGAACATACACAGTGGTGAGTTTAAATTCTGCCAGACCTGTGGCAAAAAGCACTTGGCAAACATTTCTGATGATGAAGTAAACACTGGTTAGAATTAGGTAATAAAATAATGATTTCCAATGAGCAGAAATAATTAAGACTCTAACCTTTGAATTTCAAATATGTATAAAAATGCAACTCAGGTAATTATTTATTAAATGTTTATAGAATGCTGTTACATATATATATATATATATATATATTGTTAATAATAATGTTGGTATGGAATTATATGAGAAAATGCAAAAATGGAAACAAAGTCTCTGCAAACAGGGAGGAATGGAGGGGTTGAAGAGAGGTCAGGGGAATGGGGAAAAAAATGAACCAAGATAGATTATGTAAAGGTACAAATTACTAATGTTGCATGTCATTATATTGTATACCTAAAATGTACCATAAAACTAATAATAATGTCTGTATATGCTTAAATATATATATGTATACAAGCTACTAAGTGAAAATAATGCTAACATATATTATTCCAATTCTACTTTTCTTAAATTCCTATCAAATGTCCATTAAATGTGTATATTATGCCATGCATTAAGTAAGTTCCAGAGTACAAGGAAATAAATACCCTTTTAATAGCCGTTTTAGATTTTAGCTTGAGTATCTTTTTCTGGGAAATCTTCCTAATTCATAAGATTAAATCATATCTGCCTGTTGTAGACTTATCTAACAATCTAAATTTCTCTTTTACAACCCTAGATGACTTGTAGCTATCTTTTTTAAATGCCCAACTTTGCTCCTACACTAGAAGCTATGAGGAATAGAACAATATTCTTGAATCCCTTCTATCCCCAGTGTCTGGCACATGAAAGTAGTTTTTGAAAAGTCTTGAATGAATGGATAAGTGAGGGGCTCAACGCCCTTGAGAGGCACTTAGTGTATCTGTTGAGAAATGAAACGGCTTAAACCAAAAGACAGCTCACTGCTCTGTACCGTACCTTGCCTTCACTTTTCCAGGTCAGAAAGAAGCCAAATTCATCCACTTTGAAGAGGCAATTGGGTTCAAACACATAGGATTCCTGTTAAAAAGAAAGATGTTGTTGGTCATGACCGACACCATTTTGAATCCAATAAAAATGCAAATATTTCTGAACTGCTAAACAAAGAAAAATTAGAAATCAATCCTTTGCATTCACATTTTAATAAAATTTCTTATGATACTATGGAATGTTTTATTTTGATAACTTGTATTTCTTTTTTTTTTAACTGAAAGGCAGATCAATTTAATATAAAATCTACCTCCAGAACAATTATGCAAAGAAACAATGCTGATATTCTAACAGTCATACAGAAGAAAATTCCCCTAGGGTCTTGGAAGGGGAATTCCTAGGAGGAAGGATTTCCCAGTTCAGCCTCCTGACCTGGCCCATGCAAGAGGAATTCTTCCCTATAGGTAACAAATATGAAAAATTAGGTCCAGCAATATGTTCCCACAGGCCCTCCATTCAATCTGATGAAGCCTGAAACCAGTGCTGTGGACTTTGATACCAGAAACGCATTGAAAACTACAGAATCAAAATTACAATCACAATGGGATATCAGCCAAATTCAGGCCATGGGTGCAAGTGTGCTGTATTTGTGGATGGGTTCCTCCTCATTATCAAAAGAGCACTACTCTGCTTAGCAATGCCAGAAAAATTCTATGTGAACGAGAGAAAGAGTAGGTTCATCACATGAGCCCTCCGTTACACTAAGACTTGGCATCAGTGCTTCCATAAATGTGCGTGCTCTTCTCGTGAACTCAAGAACTAGTCTCCTAGATAAGTGCAATAATAACAATTAGGATCCTGTCTGGCAAACACGGATCAAGGGAGCAATTTAAAAACAAATAAATAGCACTTACAAGCTTAAGACTTTAAGGATCTTCAGAGTTTTAGTTTCAGCCATCAAAATTTATCTCTCTAAATTCCAAGGAAATAGCAACATTCATCAAAGTAAATCCAATGTCAAGATACCAGCCTTCTAGCAATGAATAAAGCAAAGGCAAGGGCATGGTATGACCTCTGCCTTCAGAGTCAAAACCCAGTTCTGTCATTTTTTATTGAGGTTTTCCTAGATGAACCCTTTCTGAGTCTCAGACTCCATGTTTAAAGAAGAGAACTATTTACACCTACCTTCTCACCTTTTGGGTTTGTCATGGGAATTAAATGAGTCAAGGAACCAAGTTCCAATTCAGTAAGTGGCAGCTATCGTCAATAGTATATGGTTCAAATCTGCAACAGGGGCAGGAAATTACTACAAATATGAAATGGTAATATGTGACTTTTTTTGACTCTCAAAATGGTATTTTTGGACAGTTCAACCCTTTTAAAATATCTTAACCTGAACCTGATTCTTTAGATGCATATCTTTGCCAGGCAGAGAGCACAGGATTTGTAGATACATAGTCTTGACCTGACGCTGGTGAGGGACTTTTGAGCAATATGGTTAGAATACCTCAGAGTATGGTTAGAATACCTCAGGGGCAAGAAAGGAAGGACACATAAATAAGAGCAAGGTCATCGGAAGGGTCTTCTACATCACACAAAATGCATAAGACACCACCAGAAAAGGCCATGGGAATCATATTGTTATTAATAAATGAGAATTATCCACCAAATGATATATGAGAATTAGCACATTTTAGAATATTTCTCAAGCAATGTCCTTACGGTAAGGAGGAATTCCAGTGAAGCATGTTCAAAAGAGTAGCCTAAGGTGGATGGTGTTTATGGAACAGACCCACTATGCATCAGCTGCCATTATTATTTATGAGCAACCTGTCACCTAATCCGAAATAAGGATTTGAGACAATCCATAGAATACATATAACAAATAAGAATTTTTTTTCAGCTTTTTTAGGGTGAGGGAGCTGAATTTTCACTTCCTTGATCTCAAGTACAAAGATTTTTTTCCTTTTCATCTGGGTGCCAGAACTTATCATCTTCACCTGCAAACTTTGATCCCTAACACCCTATTTTTGGACCTTTTGATCTGATCATGTAGGCTCTAGCTCTAGAGTTCTTTTTTTTTAAAATAATTATTTGAGTTCTTCTTCTGTTCCTTCTTCTTTCTACCTCTTCTCCTTCTGTCTCCCTTCTATTATTATTGCTACTATTATTCTCTCTGTGTGTGTCTCTGACTGCACATGCTCCTATGTGCACAGCAGATTGAATCCAGACCGAATCCTTGCTAGGCAAGGTCTCTAATACTGCACTACATCTCGAGCCCCCATTTGACTTCCTTGCAACTTCCTGTTCATTCTTCCTGCCAATTTCTCACCATCCATCAGACTCTTCCTCCTTTCCCTTTCATCTTTTCCAACTTTATTGCAACCCAATATTATAATCACTCACTCACAGATGTTCTCAACACTTCCATCTCATTTTATGTCTTATTGACCAATAAACTTGGTTCCCATCCTGTTTATATTGTGTCACTGAACTGCATAAAATGAATTGTGTGGCTTTCGTTTAAATTTAGGACAATCCACCTGAAACAGAGACTCAACTATTTTCATCAGTGGTACATGTCTTTCTTAATGGTAATCCACTCTTTTTCTTTTTTTTTGATACCAGGGATTAAGCTCAGGTTCTTGTGCCTGCAAGGCAGGTGGCAGCACCACTGAGCTAAATCCCCAGCCTGGTAATTCACTCTTTGAGGAGACCATTTCACTGCTTTTTTAAAAAGTTGGTCAGTTCCAGCCAATTACAGTACTTCATGAAGTCAGAAAATGCCACCAGATGGACACCCCTCACTTTCTTCCTTCCTAATACTATGTGCTTTCTCCTATCAAAGGTCATCTCCCTCATTTCTGCTTTGGCCTCAATCCTCTTCAAGCCACACACAGACTTCAGAACTTTTCTTATCCCCACCTAATACACATCAGGTTTTGTTTTTTACATTACATCATACCCATAAGCACATAAATGTATTCTGTTTTCACCTAACTATTCCATGTTTCTGATTCCCTCCAAAGCATAATAACTTGAATCAATATTTAGTCTCTACACCTGTCTTGCAGACTGTCTTTGACTGACTCAATTTGGTTTTAATTTCTATTATCTTCTAAAACTTCTCTGGCTATTTTACCATGCTGTCAAATGCAATGTGCAAATGTGATTTGAACTCCCAGCACCTTGCTATTTTTCTTGAAATACTCTCCACTCTTGAAATTCTGGTTTTGTTCCATTCCCTGAACACTGTTTCCTGCCTTTTCCTTCCATACCCAGTCTGTACACATGCCCCAGAACTTGGTTCTGGCATTGTCATTTCCACTATGTTCCTAGATCTCATTATGTCTCATGGTTTTAATTTCATCTATTTATTGCAGGCTCCCAAAATTCAAAGACCAACTCAATCCTCTGTGAGCTCCAATTCAGATATTTAATGCTTTCCTGGATGCTTCCACTTATACATCTCAAAGTTAGCACATTCATGTATGAGTTCTTTATTTCCTACCCCTTTGAAGCCTCTCTATTACAAGACTTCTTTAGTGCAATAAATGTCTCTAGCAAGGAATCATTCAATGAAACTGAGTCATCTTTGACTTTTCTTCATTCTTGCTTCTCTCCTCCATTAATAAGTCTACTTCACAGCACTTTCCATATATGCTCATTTTATTCCACCTCTCCCAGCAGGACCTTGGTCTAAACAATCATCATCTCTCTTAGGGACTGATCTTTCCATTTCTACTCTTTCTTCCCACAGCAGCCATACTGACACTTTGAAATTTCAATCAATTCATTCAAATTGTAAACAAATGGATCCCCAGAATATTTAAACTAGAATGTCAAATCCTTACCATGGGCTAAAAGATCCTAGATCATCTCAGTTTTTCAGATCACATTTCAGGCCATGCTCAGTTCCTCATTCTTCTGCTTTTCCACTATCATCAGAAGTCTTTTCCTTGAACCTCTCAAATTTCTAGCCAAAGGGTCTTTGCACTTACAGCTTCTCCTGCTCAAAAATCTCTTCCTCCTCCCTTTGGTAGCTAAATCCTTTTCATCTTTCAGGCTTTGCTTAATTATTGCCTCTTCACAGAGGTTTCCTCGATCTCCATAATACATGTCACATTGTACTTTCTGCTGCAATATCATGGTAATTTCTTGCTAGGACCATCCCGTGTGTAGTCATAGTATATTTTTTTTTTGTTTATTAGTTTATAGACTGGCTCCCATTCTAGAATGGAACCTTCATGAGAGCAGAGTACTTAAGAGAGTCTTATTTGCCTTTGTGTTCCTAGCTCAAAACCATACTAAAACTATTTCTCTGTCTAAAAAAAATGAATGAATGAATACTTTCTTTCAAATAAAATATTTTGCAGAGGCCAATGTATAAAACAGACAAATAAGAAATTGCTCAATTGGAGGGGATTGTGTGAGGTCAGAACCCTTCAGGGTTGGTCCTTTGAGGGAGTGTGGAGAGAATTACAAATGCAAGAGTCCTGAGTTCAGGCTGTCTGACTGGAGGAAGAGGTGCCTTTTCTAATTCATGCCAACTTATTGTAGGGATCAGTGGAGGGGGAACTTTGAGACAACTCATGGGAAACCTTTTCAACCAGGAGCATCAATACCCTTGTAAAAAATGATTTTCAAAACAGGATAAGAAATTTGAGCATGGAGAAGAAAAACAAATAGAATAGTAAAATATGGAAAAGGTAGCTCTCAGAAACCCTTGCATAAGGTCTCACACAGGACAGGATGCTAATTTGGCTTTGGACTCCCTAACAACAAAAGCAAAAAGGAGAGCAAATATTTACCAGGTGCCCGTTCAGATCACAACATAGCAACATATCAGTAGTTAGGAGAAGAAATGGCTAAAATAGAAATTCTCCAGGGGTTCCTCACCAAAAAGGTTATGATTGCTGCTAAAGACATGGGGAAAAACAAAGCCCATGGTAAGCTCATCAAATATAGCTGAAAAATTTCTTGACCAAACGTGTTCAGACCACCCATGAAAATCACAGTGCAAATCTGAGGTTTATGTGGCAATCAATTGAAAAGAACTAGAACTCAACCTATTTAGGTTTCTCTCCGCC